CAGGTGAATCGCTATATGCCACCGCATCGCAGATGCTGCGGTGGCATAAAAATGCTTTATATTGTTGCTTTAAAATGCTTTGTAAACTATACCCCTAGGGTGAAAACATAACAGCACATATACAAGTAGTCCCTAACCGGTGTTTATTGGCAGTTTAACACCACTTTTTCTTCCTTCTTTGTCTATAGTGACAAAATCACGTGAGTGTTAGAATGTAAAATAATTCACTGTTAGAGTTCAAATGCACAGGAACATTAGCACCAAGTCTGATAGGCTTGAGGGACTAATTACAAAGCATTTTAACAATAGTCATCCATTTCTAATCTGATATATGATATGATGCCATCCATTTCTGAGATATAAATTACAGTCATCTACTTCTAATGCGAGATACAACTTACAGTTATCCATTTCTAATCAATTGAATCAAATAAACTTATTACACAGTCATCCATTTTGTATCAAATAAACTTATAACATTGTCACCTATTTTGTATCAAAGGAAATTATTTCACAGTCATCCATTTTGAATGAAATAAACTTATTACATCATTACCTATTTCGTATCAAAAAATCTTATTACAGAGTCATCCATTTTGTATCAAAGGAAGTTATTACACAGTCATCCATTTCAAATGAAATAAACTTATTACACCCTCACCTTATCTTATCAAAGAAATTTATTACACAGTCATCCATTTCGTATCAAAGGAAGATATTACAATTATTTATTGTAAACAAGACAATGTGACATATAAATTATGCTACTTGTACCTCTTACTATAAAAACATTGGGTCAAAGCTAAAACCATCCACATCACTCATTTAATGAAATAAAGTTCAACTTACCAGCATTTCCTCCTATCAAAGACATTCCAATACTGCGTAAATTATAAACCATATTTGCATTAATTCCCTAAATAAAAGAACTCAATTCTACATAAACTAAAATTAACAGAAAATAAATATGTCCATCCAGTCTCAACAGCCTTTTGATTCACAATGACAATTAAGTTGTCATGACGTCAAATAAACTGTGACGTCATCAATTGGTAGTCATGACGTCAGGTGACATTTGGAGCTATTCTGATTACTATAAATAGATATTATGACATCAAGTATATTGTGATGTCATCAATTGGTAGTCATGACATCACGTGACGTTTGGAGCTTTTCTGATTACTATAAATAGATATATGACATCTAATATATTGTGACGTCATCAATTGGTTGTCATGATGTCAGTTGATATTTGGATACCTTTGGTCACAATAATTTGACCAAATGTTATAATGTGCTAGGGGCTTGAGATAAGTTCCACTATCTATTATCTTTCATGAAAAGGCTCAATCAAAATAGGTCTAAGATTTTGACCAGTTTAGTTTTGTAAATGCAATCACATTTTTACATAAAAAAATCACTGAGCATGTTTTTCTTATTTTTTATTTTATTCTGAAACCTTTGTACACCTCATTTATCCATATAAAATATGCTTTTTAACAAGTACAGAAAACAAGTAAGTCAAACTAATGATCCAAATGTCCAGTTTCTTTCGTTTTTATTTCATTTATTTTCATTGTAATAGTAACGTTTTTTCAGCGAATTTATTATATCTTTCTTGCTTTACAAATAAATATATATTTACCAGTTAATATTGAATACCAAAGTTTTTCAGTGGACAGTGATTTTAATAATTCACAGAAAAATAATGAAATATAATTTTCATATGAGCTGGACTATATTAGAATGCGGATAAATTAGAATGTATCAGAAGTAAGTGGAAAAATTGTCAGAAATATTTGAGAATCACTTCAATATTTGTAACTATCATGTTAAAAGTGTAACAGAATTTGTGAAATATTACAGAATTAATTTTCAACAGTAATAATGTGACATCATGATTTTGATGATGTCATGAATGCTCATGTTGTTATGTTGCAAAATTTAGTAGAAATGACCAAAAACCACTAAAAAAGCAAATTAATAGAAATAGTTTGCTTTGTATGTAAGATCATATTATATTTCACTCATGAACACCAGCTCTTAAATTTTACTCATGGCTATGCCATCAGTGTCCACTTTGTAAAATATTTTTTCAATTTAACATGCAAAATAAATACATGTATCCTATATTCATGTATCCTATATTGTCACCTCAGTGCAGTAAAACATTAACTTCTATTAAATTATATAAGGACTTAACAGCCATTCTCCCATAATTGAAGCACTTTTGGTTCACAAAAAATGAAAAATCTGACTTTCGTAAACAACGTTTTCTATGATTTGCTTTTAATGTTCAATACCTTGGACAGATTGTGTGAAAGTTTAACTCACACCATTCGCTCCGTTTGTATACTGAAAGCTTTTGAAGTTAGTTACTGAATGACATTGTTACGGAACATATATATGCCATAGGAATTACTTTAGAGGTATTGTTTTACTAACATTTTTAATTAAATAATCCAAAAGAATATGCATTGTAAAGTTGAAAACCAATGGTTACCTTTAGCAAAAATATTTTATGCCATATCTTATTCTGAAACTTGTATACTTCGTATTTGAAAAGCTTGTTTAAGCAAATATTTTCGTAACTTAAGATTGACATTGTTCCGATACAATGCACAAACAAATACTGTCATAAAAGTTATCGAATTATATCTAAAATAGATGCAGAAAACAAATAAAGCATGACTTTTAATCTGTGTAACGTTACCAAAAAGACTTGGCTGCACAAATGATCATCAAACAGACCTTATGATCTGTTACGGAACATAGGTGAAAAGTTATAAAACATAGGATTTATAACTCAATATTTTCACTCTTTAAAATTACTTAAACAATTTAAATGTGGTATCTTCACAAACAACATCAATCATTAAACACTGTATCAATTAAAAATAACATCAACAGTTTAATTTAGTGAGTAGTGCAGGAAAAGATATCTGTTACGGAACATATGTTATGGAAAATAAAATATTATGTTTTTCACTGAAAATGAACAAGAATTCTTTTTTTCACTTTAATTTACTTTCTTTCTGCCTTATTTACACAAATTTGTTGTAATGTTATGTTTCATGTAGCTCTCTCTACATTTTCTTTACACGTGCTTTTTTTCTTTCTTGAATTGGAACATACTTTTTTCTGCTTTCTTTCTCTTTTAAATGATTTGTTGTTTTCCCCTCTATGCTTTGTCTCCTGTATTTCTGTTTTTAAAAGCACAATTCTAAAATAGAAAATCGCTGCTTATTACAAATTTATTAACCTTGATACATGAACATCATTAAAATAATTATTTTTATCATGATTATTATTAATTGAAACAATAACATGACAATCATCATTTTTATCATTATTACATTAATATCATTATTAATATTACTTTTTTCATGATAATTGTAATTCTAAAACTGTTAGATAATGTAAGTGACATAATGATACAATTCTGGTATTTTATAAATAGTAAAAAACATAAAAAATCATATTCAAACATAGCATTTATGAATGCTATGTTCCGTAACAAATTTGATATGTTCCGTAACGGAAAAAGGCAACCTTACAACACAATACAAATCATGTTAGACTTCCAGTTAATATTGGACACCATTTTCATATATCTTTATAATGAAAAACACACTGGAGCAGTTTTTATAAACAAACTGAATAAATATATTATGGTGCTGAAAAAAATTGATAGAAGACTATGCTTCCGTAACAAATTGCCTTTGACTATTTGATAAACTGTGCACTTCTTTTTCATCGAAATATGTGTTCCATGTTTGAAACCAATCATTCATTTCAAATTGTTAAATAACTATGGATAAAGTACATATATGATATCAGATTATGATCTCAAAATAATTAACTATGTTCCGTAACAAATGTTTCAAACAGGTAAAAAAAATATAAATAGCATCAACTTGCCACTTTTGAGATCTGTGGTTTGCTGAAAATAAAGCTTGCAATCGATTGTATCAGTAAAGTTTCTCGTGTAAGTAACATAATTGTGAAAACATCGTTATAAAATCAAAAACAGTGGTTGCCAAAATAAAGTACAGTGATTGCCAAATACCCCCAGTTGCCTAATTGTATCATAAAAGTCAATTAAGATGTTGCATGCATACCTAATAGGTACGTATCATTGGGAGAGGTGATGGGTAAAAAAGTCACACCGTCAATTCAACCGTATACTGTACCGAAATTCGGATGATCGTTTTGTTACGGAAAATAGCCGTTATGGAAACATAGTGAAATTAGACTTCTACGGGTCAGAGATATCACATTTTTGTGCAAACGACATCTCATTTTGGTGTTTTTCATTTAAAGAAATACAAAACAATATTTTAAAATTTTTATTTGATTGGTATAATGTGTATTTAAAAGTATACGCCCGTTACGGAGGCATAGCATTTTAAACGCGACATTTGAATTATTTACAATAAAACGGTTTGTGTTAAAATGTATCATTGCAGGAGTCTAATTTATCAATTTTATTCCAAATATAGTCTTTTGATATTGTTTTGAGTACAAATTTAAAAGAATATAACACATCTCAAGATCGTTACATTCCAGTTTAAAATCGTTACGGTACCATAGTTGCATTTTGGCGACGGCAGCATTTAAAGAAAATCATGGAAAACAAGGGTCTCTGTCTCAAACTTCTTATGTAATTCTTAATCTATTATCAATACCGTATTGATTTTAGGCAAAAACTTGTTGGAAAACATAGAAATGGATTGTTTTTTTCACCAATCTCAAACTTTAATTGGTCAAGCGACAGCGCTTTTTTGCAGTTACTATAGCTTTTCAATTTAACACAAATGACAAAAGAGGAGCATCCACGCTACAAAATTAAAGTTAAGCTGCTGAGAACATCCCAGTGTACTTATTTAAATGTTTGTCTCAAAGGATTAAGCTCGTCTGTACATTTTACTATGATTTTAAAAGTGGAGACAGGAATTATTAAAAAGTGCTTCAATTATAGGAGAATGGCTGTCAAGACATTACTGCACCAAAGTGGCAATATGCAATACATTATATAATGGTATTTGTTGTTTTGTAGGCTGACCTGATGTAACAGTGGCAGGAGTATATTGCCAGTTACTTATCACAAAGAGCAACAGAAATATTTTAATGTTCAAATCCATGTTTTACACCGACATAACAAATGTAAAAACAAAGCCATTATTTTGCCAAAAATAATAAAATCACAAAATCCCAAGTACATGCACCACAGCACTTGCTGATGATCATTCTGTGAAAAGCACAGAAAAACCATGCTTATGCAAGCTGAAAATTTTCCCCCATTTTAATAACAAGGATTTTCTGTTAAAGAGCCTAAAATGTTGCTGGATCTTTTAACTGTTGCTATGTAACTAAGTACATAAATGTTAATTTTCATCCATAATTTGAAATCAACTTTATATTTTAAAAGTTCACTACAAAATGTCTATCTATGAATTAATTCTCTTCAGATTAAATGATCTTTTGTCTGGATTAAGACTGATTCCCTAACTTCTTCAAAAGCATATGTCTCTCTTCACATGTGTCAGGTAGCCTGTGTACTGCAGACCTCATACCATTCTCCACGTAGTTTACCATCTTTGACCCTATTTTCCTGCTTTTAATTTTCGCTTTTTGACCTTTTGCCATTCCCTTGGAAACGTCCTTGAACTTGTTGACAATGTGCAGCAGAAACACCAAGGAGGAGTCCATTATTTCTGCAGGGAGATGCAAGGTGATCTGACATACATGATGGAAGAGTTCACCTAGGTACAACAACTGAAGGTCATGGTTTTTAACAATCTTGTCACATTGTTTCTGAAAAAGAATACCACAGTTTATTCACAATTTATCCAAAAATATGCAATACTAATTCCATGCCATGATTTTAAAGACACACTCATTAATAAGCAAGACATTTCAATTTTTTTGAATTACTAATTAATATTCTTGTTGTTTTGTCAGTTATAGATATTTATTTAAATAGGACACTCACATAATTTATATTTACACTGGTGCTATGGAAACTAACTGATAAAGTTATAAACCAACTTTGAAAATAATCCTCAGTTACATGATCTTTTAAAGATTGAACATTTTATCCTAATCTATCTAAAGTAAAAATAAACTTTATACCTTTTAAATAACCATTCTTTAAGGTAACAGTAATCTAAACAAGATATGAGTAAAATATATTTGGTTAATACCTTCATAACACTAATGTAGCACTGAATAGCATGATGTAATAGTGACCTTGAATCATCTCCTGGTGTCAAGGTCATCACTAAGGTTAAAATCACATCACCTAGCAACTGGGATGTAAACAATGATGATTCCAATTCTGCAATGCAAAAAATAAAATAAAAAACAAAATTCAATCTACTTTTCAAATGTTTTGTCATTTTCATTTGTTCCTAGTACTTATCAAGAATATAATATTAACCCTAAGGTAACGCAATCAGACCTTCAATGTTAAAATATGTTGTAAATTTATCTGTAAATAATCAATATAGAACTGCCACAAAGTCCAGGCACTTAGAACATATCATCGAAAAATTTAGCTGACAAAATGTTCTTGCAAACTAACCAACCAAACAGACAATCATTTCATAGTACTTTTCCGTTTGCTTTACATTTTACACTGATTTTAACATTTTTGGTCATACATTGTACTTCAGTGTGTCATCACCTAAATGACTTTCCTAGAAAACTATCCAGTAATAACCAATTTGTCCTCAATGGACTGACTACTAATCCCACATGATTTCTGACCTGGAACTGACAGACAAATGACCATTAGACTCAATGTTACAGTTCAAATGTCATGGAAAAAATTTACCATCAACAAGAAAGATGAATGTTCAATGAAAAACGCTCCCTTGATTTACATCAGTGATCATGTTTCAGACAAGGATAATTTGAAAGACCATACCTGACAGATGTAGGTGACGTAAGTTAATTGTAGACTGCAATCTGTACATCAATGATACATTTAATGTCTCTATGCCAAATAATCCCTCTACCAGTCTGACAACTCTCTCAAACTCACTTGATAAACACTGTGGTAACACCTAAAATGGAAATTTTATAATTTCTATTTACTGACCATTTCCTTTTCATTGTTCTTGAAATCATACTGTCATAATTGAGATGAGCAAGAAATTATCCCCCTTTATTGATTGGAAGACATTATAAGATCCTCTGAACATAATTTCAGGCAAAGTAAGCAACAAATTAGGACTAACTAGAACTGCCACTATCATGGCGTGAATACCCCCGCATACCACTTTGTCAAAATCAACAGTGGCCATTTAGAGCTCAAGGACAACCTCCCTGCCAAATCTGAGGTTACTAAGCCAGTGCATTGCTAAGTTATGTATTCAACATGCTTCAAATGTGAAAATGTCAAAATCAATACATTGCGGACAGGACATTCTTTAGCAATTGAGAAGAAAAGCTTTTTTTGTCAAGGTCCCTGTGACCTTGACCTTTGACCCAGTGACCTCAAAATCAAAAGGGGTCACCTTATAGTCATGATCAACATCCATGCAAAATATGAAGACTGTGGGTCAAAAGAATCTTAAGTTAATGGGTGGACAAACTTTTTGAAGTCAATGACCTTTGATCTAGTGACCTCAAAATCAAAAGGGGTCATCTACTAATCATGATCAACATCCATGCCAAATATGAAGACTGTGGGTCAAAGGAATCTAAAGTTATTGGGCAGACAAACTTTTTGAAGTCAAAGTTCCTGTGACCTTGACCTTTGACCTCAAAATCAATAGGGGTCATCTACTAATCATGACTAACCTCCATTCCAAATATGAAGACTGTGGGTAAAAGGAATCTTAAGTTATTGGGCGGACAAGCTTTTTGAAGTCAAGGCCCCTGTGACCTTGACCTTTGACCTGGTGACCTCAAAATCAATAGGGGTCATCTACTTATCATGACTATAAACCTCCATGCCAAATATGAAGACTGTGGGTCAAAGGAATCTTAAGTTATAGGGCAGACAAGCTTTTTGAAGTCAAGGCCCCTGTGATCTTGACCTTTGACCTGGTGACCTCAAAGTCAATAGCGGTCATCTACTAATCATGACTAACCTCAATGCCAAATATGAAGACTATGGGTCAAAGGAATCTTAAGTTATTGGGCGGACAAGCTTTTTGAAGTCAAGGCCCCTGTGACCTTGACCTTTGACCTGGTGACCAAAAAATCAATAGGGGTCATCTACTAATCATGACTAACCTCAATGCCAAATATGAAGACAATGGGTCAAAGGAATCTTAAGTTATTGGGCGGACAAGCTTTTTGAAGTCAAGGCCCCTGTGACCTTGACCTTTGACCTGGTGACCTCAAAATCAATAGCGGTCATCTACTAATCATGACTAACCTCAATGCCAAATATGAAGACTATGGGTCAAAGGAATCTTAAGTTATTGGGCGGACAAGCTTTTTGAAGTCAAGGCCCCTGTGACCTTGACCTTTGACCTGGTGACCTCAAAATCAATAGCGGTCATCTACTAATCATGACTAACCTCAATGCCAAATATGAAGACTATGGGTCAAAGGAATCTTAAGTTATTGGGCGGACAATCTTTTTGAAGTCAAGGCCCCTGTGACCTTGACCTTTGACCTGATGACCTCAAAATCATAAGGGTCATCTACTAATCATGACTTATCTCCATGCCAAATATGAAGACTGTGGGTCAAAGGAATCTTAAGTTATAGGGCGGACAAGCTTTTTGAAGTCAAGGCCCCTGTGACCTTGACCTTTGACCTGGTGACCTCAAAATCAATAGGGGTCATCTACTAATCATGACTAACCTCCATGCCAAATATGACGACTGTAGGTCAAAGGAATCTTAAGTTATTGGGCGGACAAGCTTTTTGAAGTCAAGGCCCCTGTGACCTTGACCTTTGACCTAATGACCTCAAAATCAATAGGGGTCATCTACTAATCATGACTAACCTCCATGCCAAATATGAAGACTAAGGGTCAAAGGAATCTTAAGTTATTGGGGGGACGGACGGCCGGACGGCCGAACAGCCGGACATACCAAAAATTGATGTTTATGCGGCAAATGAGCTCATAAAAACCACCTGGACCAACGTCCATAAGCTAAATAAGCTCATAAAAACAAAAAAATAGCTCTTAATTTGAATTTTATGAGTTTATGTTCTTTATTTAACTACGGAATGATGCTCATAATAATCAAATGTTGGCTCAGACGGACAAGCTTATTCCAGTATACCCCCCTTACAAC